GTTTCATTATGAGTCAATGATGAGTCAATAGCCAATTACAAATATGGTGATCCATAGCCCTAGGATTAAGAGACTTATAATTACAGGAATGTAATATGAATTGTGTTTGAGTATAATTACTTCCTAGAATACCTAATGTGCATTTACCAAACCACTAAAGTATGGAGCATGTGAACTGCAGAGGTGGGAAATATTTGCATCAATGGAGGCAGGAAAACATAAGTAAGAGAAAATAGGAGGGCATTTGGGTTGTTTCCAAAACTTAGCTATTGTAAATGGTGCTGCTATAAACATAGGCGTGCAGGTGCCCTTTGGAATTACTGTTTCTGTGTCATTTGGGTAAATACCTAGGAGTGGAATTGCTATATCATATGGAAGCTCTATGTTTAGTAGGTCATGAAATCTCCACAGCTCTCCATAGTGTTTGGGCCAGTTTGCACTCCCACCAACAGTGCAGGAGAGTTCCTTTTTCTCCACAACCTCGCCAACATTTGTTGTTGCTAGTTTTTTTAATATGTGCCATTCTCACTGGTGTAAGATGGTATCTCATTATAGTTTTGATTTGCATTTCCCTGATTACAAGTGATGTTGAACATTTTTTCATATGCCTGTTGGCCATTTGCATTTCTGGATCAAGAAGATGTGGAACATATACACCATGGAATATTACTCAGCAATCAAAAAGATAAACACATGCCATTTGCAGCAACATGGATGGAGCTGGAAGGGATTATGCTCAGCGAAATAAGCCAGAAAGAAAAAGAAAAATACCGGATGGTCTCACACATAGCAGGAATCTAGAAAACTTAAATAAGGGACCAGGAAAATGAATAACTGTATGAAAGAAAATATCAAAATCAACAAACAACTATGAACCAGAGACACTCTATGGGGGGTGGGGGGTGGGGAAAGGAGGGCTTGGGGTTGTAATTGTACGGGGAATATAAAAAATAAAATTTAAATAAAATGTGAAAAAAAATATTTACTGTGATCACTCTGTGACCCAGGGTCTCCAGATCCTGGTGTTTCATACCGTTCTCGAATTTTGTTTTCTAGCTCAGTATTAGCTTCTTTTAGAGCTCGAACCTTATCCAGGTAAAAAGCCAATCTGTCGTTTAGATCTTGTATGGTTTCCTTTTCCCATCCAGAAAGGGCTCCATCATTGCAGGAGACGATACCTAGAGAACCGCCTCCCGAGCGCCCCCAATTTCCAGGCCTCCCTCGCAAGCAGTGCCCAACCCTCCTGCTAAGGGACTTCCAAAGCCACCCCAAAGCCATTGCAATACCCAAACATGGAAGCAGCAGAAAAGCCTGCCCCACAGCTGCCCCGCCCCCCCATAGCCCCTTCCACACTGGAAGCGGACATGCCCCCATAGTCACCTGCTGGCCTGCTCTCGAGGACAGGGGCAGGGCAGCCCCGCGGTGCGCCCTGAGAGGGGGGTTGCCTGGGGGAGACGCGCAGCTTGGGGAGGAAAGCCCAGCCCTTTATAGGTCGTGAAATGGGTGTTGCTGCTGAAAAGGTCACTCTATTCAAAATCTAGTGCCCCCCCCCCCTTATTTTGGCCAACTGAGCTCGTCATTGACTTATGCGTGTTGCAAATCCACTGGTATAGAAATAATCGAATAACGGTGCCCACTGCGTACTTGCTATACAGGAGAGTTGGGGTGGGGGTGGAGGTCGGTTGTCACGAGGAATTTTTCTTTCCCAAACGCTTCTACCGCCTGTGTGGTCTGCACCGCCTTGTGCGCTGTAGGAAAACACGAGCGCCCTGGGAGGCAGTAAAGGCTTCTTCCTAAACCGCAAGTTTCCTGACGTTCTTCGCTCATATTTCCTATTTGCTTCCTTTAGAAAACTTGATATGCGCCATCCAGCCCACCCTCTCGAGGCACAGAAGCAGCGTGAAATGCCCTGTGGGTGGACGTTGGCAGCTGGTTAGTTCAGGCTTTGAATTTTCAGGGACTGTGAAACTGTGTCATTGGGAGCTTGCATGGTTTCTTTTTTTCTGATTCAGAAAGACCTCTCAAACACTGAAACATGTCGTTTCTGAGCAGACTATTGTAGCATTTTCAGCAGATCTTCCTGTATGTGCAGAAGAGTGGACCTTCTTTGCAAACCCCGTGAGCTCAGTAGTCTAACCTGATTGTTCCATACTCAACCCGCAGCGCCTACGTGTATTCCTGCCACACATACTGGAGGATGATGTGCTTGCTCAATACATGTGTTGACAGCATGTGAAACTTAGGTTTCATTGCCATTATCAATCAGGAGAAAGAGGAAACACAGGGTTCAAATTCAGAAGTGACTCTAAAGCCCCAAGTTTAAGAAGCTAGACACCCTTTCACTTCAAGGCTATGAAAAAAGGGTAGTTTGTAATAGAAACAAACCAGGAGGTGTTACTTTTTAAAACTTTTGTGAACGTTTTGCCAACTGTGCTTCAAAGAATTGTAACATATATATATATATATATATATTTTTTTTTTTTTAAATGAAGCTCTCGTTATAGTTTCTTCTTTGGTATTTTATCTGCTTTCAATATTGAACAGTAACTGGATGCTTTTGGACATTTTTCTTCAATAGCAGAGATCATATAAGTAAGCCTCTAGTTGTTCTATAACTTGCATTATGTCAAAATGTCTTGATCTTTTTGGGAAATTAAATCAAGCATTTCAATCAAGCCAGTGTGAAAGTATTCAAGTGTTGCTCAGCCATTAGTAGATCAATTCTACTTCAATTTTAGTCCATTTGTCCAGTGTCTTGGACCAAATCAGTTCAATAAGTACTTGTTGAATTGATTTGTCTCTTAGTAAATCAGGAAAGTCTGTTATTCTTGGGGAATTTTTTTCAACATTAAAAAAATGAGTATGGGGGGCCTCCCTGGTGGCCAAGGGATTAAGAACAGCACTCTGAAGCTATCTGCAGCCTCTGCAGCATGAGTTCGATCCCCTACCAGGCCAGGCAGCTACCCACATGGCGCAGCAGACCTCTCCTGCCTCGCCCGCTGCTCCCTTCAGCAGTGTGTTTCAGTCAGTCTGCCTGTTCTGTTCCCCACTCTGTCTCTGGTGAATCTTCTCACCCCTCCCCCCACCTCTGGAGCCTGTACCCCAGTTCTTGTATGCACAAATAAATAAATCTTTAAAAAAATGAGTATGGATAGAAAGGTAAGTTATATGGTATATTAAGTACCAGACTCCAACATAGATGTGTACACAGCCAGAGGGTACCCTCACCCTGATGTTGACACACGCACACACACACGCACACACATATGCACGTGGACGTGGACCTGGTGCCGCTGCTTCGGTGCCCGGGAGCTGTGGGCAGAGGGAGGTTTGCGGTACCAGCAGCTCCTCCCCCTCACCAGGAACCCATTTTCCAGGGAGTTTTTCTTTCTCTGCCTCTGTCTCATGGTCATTAAACTCCAGAGTCCCTACTTGTCTTTCTTCTGTCTTCAGGAGGACACGCTGAGACTTGAGGAACCCTAGACCTGGAGTTGGATCCCCCTCTGCCAGTGCTCGCACCCTCACCCTTTCTCCTCCCCCTGACCCTCACCCCAAATAGCGAGATGTCCTCCCTGATGCCAGCCTCCCAACTACAGTTCCCTTTTCCCTTATTGGAGAAGAGATATATGCAAACGAACATACTTCCTGCACCCCAGTGAAGGCTGGAGCCCCCACAATTCCCAAGGACTCTGCCCATCCAGGGACCTCTCCCTGGGTGCCCTTTTGTTATCTCTAAGTAAAATTTGCTTTTGCTTCTGCTAAAGACATGGCTGTGAATTCTTCTCACACCATAATCAAGAACCGAGGAACCCCCAAATCCAGGAACCCCAGAACCTGGTGACAGGGGCGGTGCCTAATTTATGTTTCATCCTGAGTTCTAGCCTAGCACTTGGCTCAATTTCATCCCTGCTCGCCTACAGTTTTCCACTTGAAAGAGCTTCATCCTTACTAGGTTTGAATGTGTTATTTAAAGTTCACTTCATTTGAAAACAACTTCACTCTAATTTTCTGACATGCTTTGACATTTATTCTGAATCCAATTGTGAATGGGGAGCAATTTCAGAAGTTGAAAGGAGAAATATTTCTTCTTCAGTGGCTTTTTTCCTCTCTGAAGGCAAGGCTAACTATTTTAGAGTTTTTAGAGTAAAAATAATTGTCTTTGATAGCTGTTAATATATAGAAGGTGTATGAAATAAAGAAGATCTTAAGCTTGTTGGCAAACTTATTCTGTAAATTGAGCATAAAGTGACTGGAGCCAGGGTGAACTGCTCCAAAGAACTGTTTTCTAGTTTTGTAGAGTCCAGGGAATCCGCAGAATAAACATTTCACAACAACCATTCACTACATAAAGAGAGCAGCTGATGATTTGTGTATGATTTATTTTCATATCAAGAGGTATTAGGTCACAAGGAGGGTGTCAGTAATTTTGCTTTTAATCTACTATTTCAAGCATAGTGTGCTTTATTCGATTCAGCATTTATGATTAAAAATTGACTCTCAAATTATCACAAAAACTGAGTAGAACTTGAAAAAGAGTAAATCCCACTCAAAGCTAGCAGAACTGTGCCAAAAGGACATGGAATGAACCAAGCAATTGGCTCCTGAAAGGAGAATTTGCAGAAATGGCAAAATTGAGAGACATAGGAAAATTTGTGATTTTCATGGACTCTTCTGCTTGTGAGGTTCAGTACATTGAAATGTGCTATAATTTTCAGAAGCCGTAACAAATTGATATTACGAGGGTCTATAGCTTGTAACTACCGTACTTCATGGTGGAGATGACAGTAAGGATGTTCTAAATGTCCTAGGATTTCAGTTTTTCAGGTCAGTGGGATTTCCTCTGAGTAAAATATTCATTACAGATGCTGGTAAGTGGACTTTTCCCCTTTCTAAACACCACAAGCAGTCACAGCACTTTCTGATGGCCTCGTTCTTGTTGGGAGCAACAGTTATAGCTACAACTCTTTTAAAACCTCAGCAGTGTCTCCTCAGGCAGCTTTTTAGATAGTTTCTTCCATTTCATTGACTTCAGATGACACAACCTTGCCATCCACTATTTCTTGCACGACATGCTTAATCTTCTTGGTTTTCTTTACATCTAAAATTAGATCTGAAACATAACATGTTAATTCAGACACATGACTCTCTTGATTTATAGAATTCAGCTCAGAATTATTATTTTGTATGTAATTCCTTTAGAAAATTATTGAACCTATTCTTCTTAAATTTTATTAATATATGAAGAAGAAAATGTGTCACTAGCTTCAAATTTACAAACTATCTTCCCACTCCCAACAGAAACATGCAATATTGAATTAGGCAAAATGCTCATTTTTATCCTAGTTTTCCTTCTCAGGCTCTGAGCACACCTTGGGACAGTCAGGGCACAAGATAAGAGAGGCACCTGGCTATAGGGCCATGACACGTTTCCCATAGGAAGGGTCTCCATGCGATGCGCCTGGTCTCCAGAACCCCTGGGGTGATATCTGCTCACCTAAAAACTCATCTCTCTTTACTTTTCACCGTGACAGGTAAATGGTAAGTTGCTGAGTGAAAATTCAGTCTTAAGGAAAATGCATGAATATTAAAATGCTTACCTTTGTGTTCCAGGGTCATTACCGGGAAACTTGTATCTCTGTTTTATTTTTTTTTTAGGAAAAGAAAAAAGAAATAGAAAAAAGGTGTTATTACCCTTTTGGAAAGAAAGTGTGGTCCTGCCTTTTTTGCTTCCAGAGAAGCTCTGAGTGATGTGCTTTTAATGCTGTGTTACATTTTTATTCCCCTTTGCACTGCTGGTTCCTTCCAACTTGAGAGTCTGACTTTTTACCTTGAAAAATACACAGCTTCACAAGTGACCTGCAAAGCAATACTGCAAGCTTTACTAATTAAAATATAAAATTGCAGTGGAAGTTTAATCTCCACTTGCTGACTTTCCTGGGTGCAGGATTTAAAGATAGTCACTGTTGCAATGTCCAGGATCCTCCAAATGATCCCCACAGACCTTGGGGGACTGTTTTTTGATTCCTAACCTCCTAATGAGAATTCTACAAAATGATTGTGCTTTCAATTATGCATTAATCATAAACATTTACGTAAGCATGATGTGTATCACCTGTATAACCATTTTCTCCCAGGACAACCTCAAGTGCCAAGATTGTACTTGATCTATTTGGGTTGTGTGTTCTTTTGGGATATTGTTGTTGTGTTGGTGGTGTGTGAGTGATTGTATTTGAGCCAGGGATTGCTGGGGATTGTACTGGTGCTGGGGATTGCACTGGTGCTGCGGATTGCACTGATGCTGGGTATTGCACTGGTGCTGGGGATTGCACTGGTGCTGGGGTTTGTACTGGTGTTGGGGATTGCACTGGTGCAATGAGTGACAGGGTTTGGTGTGTGGACATTAAAGCAGCATGGCACGTAGACAGTGTGCCTATCCTATTCTGAGAACCTTACATTTCTTCCCCTTCCAGAAGGCGGCGGTAAGTGGCAATTTCCTGCTCCAGCCGGGTCTTTATGTCAAAGAGAGCGTTGTACTCTGCAGTCTGGTGTTCTATGTCACCCCGGATCTTCATCAGTTGCTTCTCTAGGAAGGTTAGCTGTCCCTGGATGGCGGCCAACTGGTTACTGTAGCGAAGTTTGATGTCCTCGAGTCTACGCTCCAAAGATTCTTTCTATGAACACAAGAAAAAGTGGATGTTTCTCTGTGGAGGACTTGATTTTAGGGGTGGCTCTATTTTAATTTCTTTGGAGAATTTCTGCAGCTAGTCATTGTGAGCATCATACACCTTCTAGCTTCCCCCCGACTCTTTCTATCTGACTAATCTAAGCCAGTCAGCTAAGACCACTAGTGCTTGGGTTTTCATGTTTGTTTTTGGCTTTGCACTCGCTCTTTGCACTCACGATGCATGCACTGCATTATTGTTCTCAACAGTTGCTTAACTGTCCATCCCCCCACGGGGAGGATTCACTTTCTCATCCCATTGACACCAGACTACGTCACGTATCTTTCTCTGGATGATGAAATGTAAATGAGACTGATGGATATCTTTTCTAAGAGCTATCACATGCTACAGACACTGTTCTTTTCTTTCTCTCACAACACTTCTAAGCCCCAGTGGGGTCTACTCTTCCAGCCTCACCCCTGGGGTGGGAATGTCATGGAGCAGAGTCATAGCTAACCCATGATGAGTAGAATGTCGTTCTAAGTCACTGTGATTGAGGGGTGTTACTATAGTGTAATTCATCCTGAACTGATGGATTTGCGCAGCCTGGAATGTCTGTACCCCTATTCTCCAGCTTAAAAATTCATTTTAGTTTTTCTGATGTAGTTTAAATGCCTGTGAAGTCTTCCAGATCTACTTTTCTTCTTTGCATCCTTGCTGTACTTTGCCCTTTTCTTTGTCTTCTTTTGATCTTTGATTTATAGTCACTTGCCTGACCTGTTTCCCTGCCAACTCTGCAAGGGGTGGGTCATTTCTTAGGTGTCTTTGCCTTTCCTGAGTTCTTAACACAAGCACCCAGGAGACACTGCATTGAGGATTGGTGTCAGCTGTGCTTACCAGACTGAGCTGGGACTGCATGTCGATCTCCAGGGTCTGATAGCTCTGTCTCAGCACCTTTATTTGACTCTCAGCTTCTTTTAACTCTCCACTGCTCACTGAGACTTCATTGCTCAGCATGGAAATCTAAAGTTCCCCAAATGAAAATAACACACGAGTCAGGAAAGAAAGAAAGAACATGAGTCACCACTTTTTGGATGTTATGTCTACACATTTGCTCACCCTTTTAGCATGACACTGTTACCTGTGAATCATACTGATCCTTGGCCTTCTGAAGGTTGGCCTGGGCCATGATTTCATATTTCTGCCTCATTTCCTCCAAGATGGCACCGAGGTTCTTAGATGGAGCTGCGTCCACCTCCACGCTGACAGTGCTTCGCAGCTGCCTGCGGAGAGCGGCCACTTCCTGTAGGAGTGAGAATCTGCATTAATTTTCGTTTGAAGCATATTCTCAGAGGAGGCTGAGCAGAATAGACATAATCAGTCTTTGGGAATGAGTTAAAAAAGAGAGAAGGTAACTTAGGTAGGGTTTCTATGGTCCAGAATATTCTATTTGTTTCCTCCATGCCATCTGATGCCCAGAGTAACCTTTTCAAAGGAAGTGAAGGTTAACATTACTCGTTGCCATTTTCACCATCACCACCACCACCATCACCTCTCCCCCCTTCATTTTTATTATTGTTACCATTATTATTATGGCCATTCCATCCCTGCCAATACCATTTCTGAATATTTTCTCACCTCCTCATGTTCTTTTTTGAGGTGAACCAGGTCTTTATTCAGTTCTTCAATTTGAAGTTCCAAGTCTGTCTTACTCAGGGTTAGATCATCAATGAGCTTATTCAGGCCTTGGAGATCAGCCTCCACTGATAGGCGAAACCCTCTCTCTGTTTCAAACCTGTAAATTAATTAATATGAAGCAATAATTTTTCCTCTAAAGTCATTGTGGAAATCATCTTGATATCATGAAATAGGTTTTTATGCAGTATGGGAGATTGATTTTAATACATTATTGTGTTTTTCTTTAAACATTCCAAAAATGTTCATGAGAACCTAGGGATCACATAAATTGCTCCTTAATATAATCTCTGTGATTTGCAGTGATTAGTAAGAAAACAAGCTGGAATTATTTTAGAAAGTCCTTACATTCTAGAATATCTTAGAAATATAAAATCTTTTTCTTTAATTACTCTGTTAGCAAAAGTGTTCTCACTATTAATGTTAAGTAATGGTAAGTCATATTTACTTAATGAATGTACATGTTAATTTATTTTTATTACTTTGTAAGCGGATACACCCAAAGTGAATTTCTATAGACCTATTTTTTTTTTTACTAAAGTATAAACTTCAAAAAACGATAATGCAATGGGACATGCTGATTGAATTAATGATATTTTATTGCTTTAATTTTCTAATCTGATTTACCATTCCTTTTTTTTTGCTCCCTGGTAGCATAAACTGTTATGCTTCTAAGCCATAAAGGGCTTGGTAGTGCCAGCATATTGTACAAACTCAGGATGGGGAAGTGTCAGTTTCTGAGGAGCCATCTGTGTCATGGTTGTGGAAGGTGACTACAGAGAGGGAACACAATTTGAACTGCTTGAGTCATCATCCTAGTTCTTTGGTCACCAAGGCCATAAAACACTGGTCTGAACACTGACCAGCTAGGAAGCATTAAGAACCCCTGAAACTTGTAGGCACTTGAAGGGACATGAATGACTCACTTGGGGAACACAAGGGCAGGCATGATTGATGCAGAAGAGGAGTTGTAATTGCTTAATTATTAATTTAAAGGGCAGAACTCAGTTCAGTGGGTGAAAAGGTAGATACCAGGTTACTAAAATGTTCTAGCCACCAAGCTAAACAGTGAGGACAGTGGGAGCTACCATAGGTGTCAGTTATACACTGAGTCACCCTGATTTAGGATGGGGGAGAGAAAAGTCTAGTTCTGTCTTGGACAACATCAGTTTGCTTCCAACCACCCTTCAACCCCAAGGTTCTGAAAATGTTTACTGGTAGTTCCTGCACCAACAATTACAGGGAAAGATGAGTGTCATGAAGAACCATTAAAAAAATTCTTTTCCAGAAGTTTTACATGGTATTAGAGAACCTACTTCACTCTGAAGTCCTCAGCAGCCAGTCTAGCATTATCAATGTTCAGAACTAATTGGGTTTTTTTCAGCTGAGCATCTTTAATCTGGAAAATATATGAGAAAAAAAAGACATTTTTAGCTGGGCAGGAGCTGAAATAATTGCCTTTATCTCAGAAAGAACCAGTATAATATCAAAGATAGTGTGCATTTCAAGGATTCCCACTCTAAAATAGAAAGGAAGAATCATGATATGAGTATTTAATTAAGAGTCATAAAATGCAATTCTAGTTGTCAGGGTTAGGCCAGTCTTCTTGAAATTTTACAGGAGAATTTAATTCAATAGGCTCACCAAACTTATCGAATATCCCGCCTTGGAGTTGTTCTTCCTAAGACTCCCACTGCTCCCTTAGATCCCTTGCTTGGTGAACTCCTTCTTCATGTCTACACTTAGATATCATTGCTTCAAGGAAGCCTCAAGACAGAATGGGTGAGCTGCCTGTGTTCTCATTGCCCTGCAGAGCCCTTCCTGCCATTAGCACTGACCCCTTCTAGCCTTTGTCCATGTCTGTTTCCCCTTAAAACATGTTCATCACCATTTTCCCCTGTGCCCAGCACCTTGTTCGTATCTACAAATGGTTATTGGCTGAGTGACTGGGCAGTTATTGTGTGGTGGGGGTTGTGTTAGATACTGAGGCTATGAGGATGGATAAACGCTTGATCTAAGAAGCAGTCACCAATGGTGAGCTGTCTAAAATGCATATGGATCAAAGTCATGACATTGTAGAAAATACCATTAACGTGTCTCTGTAGCAGACACTGGTTGTGCCCCGCTACGTGGAAGCCATGGCTGTGCTTGGTCCAAAATAGGCTCAGAAACTTGACTCATGAGACAGAAAGGGGAAAAGGGTTGGCTGACTTTGTTCTTAGTGTGAGTCTGAGAAGAATGAGAGGTGACAGGGAGCAATTTAGACACCACTCCCTCAAATCCCCATTAGTCCCCAAACCTCAAAGGAATTTCTATAGAGTTCAATCACATGTCTAATAGGACACAAAAGACTTATGGTGAGTTGGTGATCTTTGTTGGATATGAACATTAAAGTAGAAATGAAGACAGTGAACAAAGATTTAAATTAATGGTAGTCCAATAAAAATAAAAAAAATAGAAATGAAAATGAAAGGGACATTCTCCTTGATTAGATAAGAATTTTAAAGCAGAGTGATTGCTCTGTGTCATATCTGAAATACTCAACTAGGAGTAAAGTCTTCTTTTTTTTCTTTATCACACAATTGATAAAACAGAGATGATCTTTCCAGGTTATCAGATTTTGATATGATTGCAATAAATCTGAATTGGGGGCAATAGAACATTTTATGGCTGAGAAAGTAATTTCTGGACTGGATGATGTTGAGGTTATGCAACAGGACATTTAAACATCCAGCTCTCCTGAAGAACTGTCCTCTTCCCCCTATTTCCACCTTGAATCACTTTGTCACGGAAATCCATGACACAATATTTTAACACGTTTATTACAATATTTACATAAATGATAACAGGAAAATCTCCAGACTGATGAGGGTTTCAAAAATTAATGGGAACTACGTGAGAAATTAAAGATTTAATATCACATGAATTTTTTTTTAGCTCTTTTCAAAATAAGTGTTTACTCTCTGCTTAGCTCTAATGAGTAAGCAGTGACAAGGTGCAGATGATAAGACTGGAGGATAAAATTTCATATTTTCTATGTAATTTGATTAAAAAAAATTAAAGTCATAGGGCCTCCCCTGGTGGCGCAGCGGTTGAGCGCTGGGTTGCAAAGCTGCCCCGCAAACTCTGCAGCGCCGGTTCGATCCCCGGCTGCCAGGCGAGGGTCCCACATGGCGCGCAGGCCTCTCCTGCCGCCCGCTGCTCCCCTCAGCAGTGTACTTCGGTCCTTCTGCCTGTTCTGTTCCCCGCTCTGGCTCTGGTGAATTCTCTCACCCTCCCGCGCTTCTGACTGTGCCCAGTGCTTGTATAAATAAATAAATAAATCTTTAAAAAAAAAAAGTCATAGTGTCATAGTGTCATAGTGTCAAAAAAAGTCATAGTGTCACATAGGTACACCAGCATACACAATACCCATTTTATAGGTGCGGCATTAAGCCTGATTGTCTTTACAAAGTCTACCTGGACCCACCTAACGTCTATGCCCTCCTGACTTCCCATGCAGCTGAAAGTGGAGTAGAAAAGGAAGACATCATCCCTCACCTGAGTTTGCAGCTCCTCGATTTGTCTGAGATAGGCGCTGTAGTCCCGGGTGGAGGTGGGTGTGTTAGTGTCGTGCCACTGCTTGATCTTCACCTCCAGCTTCTGGTTGGACTGCTCCAGGGACCTCACTTTTTCTAGGTAGATTGCAAGGCGGTCATTGAGGTTCTGCATGGTCGTCTTCTCATTTGCAGAAGTCAGATTCCCTCCAGCAACCATGGCCCCGTAGTTCCCTATTTGTTTGACATTTGAGATGCGGGTGTTGTAGCCTCCAGCCCCCCCATATACACTGGGTGACCTCCTATAAATGGGTGGAAGTCCCAAGCGCTGCTTGCCCCCCACATTCATTGTAGAGTTTCTGTTTAAGTGTCTGAAAGTGGCTTCCTTTGGGGATCCTAGGAGGAAGCTCCTGAAGCTGCAGGATGGATGGGGTGACTGGAGTCAAGTCTATTTCTGGGTGGTGGCTGAGCTGCCCTTTTATAGTTCCGGGACATGTCACCTTAGGACCCGCTCACAGTCCAATTTGCCTTCCTAGTTTTTATTCCCTTTGTATAGCAACCTGTTTCATTCCGTTCCAGAAATTAATACTAGAGGCGTTTCTTACAGGTTTTTCTCAGGGGTGATTTCCTCTTTAAATAGCCAACAAAAGGAAACAAGAGGATGTATTCTTTTAGCCCTTGAATTTGCCTTGGCTGATTTTTTTTTCATCCTCACACACATACAAACAGCACTTACCAGCTCCATGAATAATTTAGGGGTCTGAAAAGACAGATGTGGGTACATAACAGTGAGTCCCATTGGCTGATGATAAAGAACATTGTTTAAAATTTGTTTATTTCTTTTTTAGTGAGAACATTTCAGTGACACTCTCAATAATGTCAATTACACAATAAAATGTTATCAACTGCAGGCAACATGTTTATATCAGATGCTCAGATCTTTTTTTTTCCCTTAAAGATTTATTTATTTATTCATACAAGAACTGGGGTACAGGCCAAAGGTGTGGGGGTGAGTGGACTCACCAAAGACAGAGTGGGGAACAGAACAGGCAGATCTACTAAAATACACTGGGCAGTTTATATTCATTTTTTTAGGAACTACCATGGTTTCCCCCATAGTGGCTGCACCAATCCCATTCCCACCCGGGGTCCTCAGGTCTGTTGCCCTTTCTCCACCTCCTCACTAGTGTGTCCTGCTCTCTGTCCTGTGATGGTGGCTCTGTGTTGGTAATCACCTTCAGAATCTCTGATTTAAACCTTTTTTTTCTTTCAAGTTTACCCATGTTTAGGGCTCTTATTTTATAAGATTATGAAAATATTTTCTTATAGTCCAAACATTTATTTTTGTTTTATTTAGTTAATTTGTTTGTTTTCTCTATATACCACATAGGAATGAAATCAAGACCAATTAGTTGTCCAAAGGGGAGGGGGTGGCAGAGGGAGTGGGTAGTCAGGGTAAAGAGGACAGCAGAGTGGGGGAGGGTAGACTTGCACTTCCAGTGGGGACCTTAGACAAGTTGATTCTCATTGATGAGTGTCTGAAGCTTACATAATGCTATAATGCGACGTATTTCAACTAGAGAAAGTATTTTGTACATACACAATGCCTCAATCATCTAAAACATCTGGATATATAGTTTGGGGAAATGAATTAATGACTTTAAATGAATGGTGATTAGATGATTTTTTTAAAAATTCTTTTTTGTTTTAAAGATTTATTTATTTATTTATACAAGCACTGGGTCCAGTCAGAAGCGTGGGAGGGTGAGAGAATTCACCAGAGCCAGAGCAGGGAACAGAACAGGTAGACTGATGAAGTACACTGCTGAGGGGAGCAGCGGGGGTGGCAGGAGAGGTCTGCGCGCCATGTGGGACCCTCGCCGGTGGCCGGGGATCAGACTGGTGCTGCAGAGGCTGTAGACAGCTTCGCGGCCCAGTGCTCAACCACTGCGCCATCAGGGGAGGCCCTAGATGATTTTTAAGTTGTTGATTTTCCCCCTAATGTTCTAATACTACATGAACATTTTCATTTCTCAGTTACTCCCTGATTTTGGTGGTGTCCCCCAGAAACTTAGAATAACTATGATTGTGCTTTGCACCTGCCCTGGTGCATGGGGAGCCTCTCTCTCCTGTACAAGTTCAGTTCTATCACCACTATGAGTCAGACTCTGCGCACTCCACCCTGAAGCTACGGCTGATCCCTCCTAGAGCCCCAATGGATTACACTGGCAGAAGCTGCCACTGAAGCCTGAACACGCCCACAGACCCCAGATTCACAAACAAGCTGAGAAGTTCCATATATAGGAAAGGGGTATATGTGCAGTGTCTGCGGGGTCACAGCCAGAAGCCAGCACAGACATGGGGTGGGTATGCATGTGATCTCCCCAGTAGGAATCTGATAAACATGGAACTGAGCACAATTTATTCACTTGCTCTCCCTCCTTCAACTCCCCTTGCTAAAAAATTTCACGTCTTTCCTGAAACATTGAAATAATTTCTTTAATCAAATTAAATCAAAGTCATGGAAGCATCTCATTCATTTTCATCCTGTTCTTTTAATTGGACTTTGGTTTGTATATGATTAAAGTAAACAACAAACAAAAAAGAAAAAAACAACACAAAACCTTAAAAAATCCATATCCCAAATTCCTGGACATTCTTTCTGGAAAGGAATTTACTTTTACTATTGTTTTCCCACTAAAAACCAATGGCTTTTTTACTTTTGAATTTGAGTTTTTTAAGATAAACATCCTTCTTCCAAAATAAGGTAAGATTATATTATTTTCCTTTTATAAAGAATATACTTTGAAACAATCCCTTGTATTAGAATTTGCTTCTATTCTATTATGAAAGTAAAAATTGCAGGTGAGAGTTAAACCTATTTCATGCAACATAAGGCATATTCCTGAGTGACTTTCCTTGTATTTTTATCCATTTACATGCACATCAGCCACCCCCACCCAGGGCCCATGACTGATGACTGACATGTAATAAGCAGCTCTTGCTATTTATTGCAGAGCTACAACATGCTTTGTAAATAGAGGCCACAGCTAAAATCTGTAGTAAAGAACTTTTGGTAAACACATAAACTGTGTTCGTTATGTATGTGAATTTGCAAAATGAATTGTTGTATTGTTGAATTTGTATTGTTGCTTTGTCGGGGGGAGGGAGGAAGTTGTTTGATTAAAGTGATTGGAAAATTATACTGTTTAAATTGCACAAGTGTTGAGGTGACTAGTTTTGGATAAGAGTTTCATACACTGACTCATATGGTGGTGTGTAAAGGTCTCCTGTTAACCACCAGTTAGCTTTATAACGAGAAAGGAATATAAGTGCACTATTGAATGTGGCATTTTTCTTCTGTCCTTTAATGTAATTCTTCCTCATATGTGGACCCAATTATGATTAAGTCAGTGTTAAAAATCTCATTAAAATGATGAAAGTAATTTTTAATTTTTTTGCAGAAATAACTGTATGTGTTATTCTGTCAGTTTTTGGGCTAGTATTTGTAAACTTCTGAGATTTTATATCTAAGCTATGGTGTGACATGATGGAGCTGATATCATGAGGGTTGATCACTTTCTATGCTCATTTGCTGGAATCGAAAAATCTCTGCTATGGAGACTTTCACATGTTTATGGAAGGGAAGGAGAATTTGTCAGTTCCTTTACCACAATGAGTGTTATGCTGATTGATCATTACACTTTATAATGTGGTCACAGGGAACCAGGCTACTATTTCACAATAATTATTTTTTTCTAAATTATACCTGAGAATTAAGTGTAGACCCTATTGATTCTTGGTCATGCACACATCATGCATTTAGGGGCCTTGAGGTCGGAGGCTGTCAATGGTGGCATCTGCAAATAAGTCCCGATTTCCTTGTAACTAACAGGAGATTCATTTTGATGTCTGAGGGTGTTAATGATTAATACTAAGTCTGGCCAGTGATTTGGAGAGTTATGTAGAGGACTTTCAACTTTCCTCCCCCTCGCCCCCCATCACTGATAAACTATTCCAGTTCAAACGTGATAAGCCTGGAAACTGTAACCTCTTGGAAGAGAGTGTTGTCTCTTGACATCCTGGTTGGAATGTGTTGCTCTGGCTGGTTGAGAAGGACAGCAGGGTGACATGCTCAGGCACTGTAGTTCCAGATTCTACACAAATTTAAGTCAGGAAAAAAAAAATCATATCCTCTTTGCTCTAAAACTGGTATTTAACTTAAATAGTTATGAGTGAAATGATATGAAGTCTTTGCTTTTCTTCAAATTAACATGGAGTGAAGAAAAGCTATTTGTTGAAACTGGAAAATGTGTATGTGAGGATTTATTATATGATGCAAACTACTCTAGTGTTTCCTTGAGAGCTACTATAATGAAACCTTTTCAGATATTGATGTAGTAAACTCACATTATTGCATTTTACACAGTTACTCTTGCATATACAGGTTTTGACTTGTCCTTATTTGGTAAGTCTGCCCTGCTGTGCTTCAATGAATTGGCAGACTTAACTGTGTCATAGTAGCTCAAACATTGTATGCACTTGATATTGATGTGCTATATGAATGATGAATAAATGAATTACTAAAAATGCCAATGCCCAAATTTGAGGGAGAAGCAGGTGACCATGTGGGGAGGTTCTCCATGCCTGCTGCTGTTTTGCTAGTCATGTTAGGAAAGTAACAGAATTATAGGTCTAATTGCTTGCAACTGGGGAGTTCAATGTTATGGCATTGGCACATTGGATACCCCTCCCCAAGGGAAACAACTAAAGTGCATTACCTATTTCTTTCCCCAACCACACATGATGGGAGAAGCAGCTGCTCTGCACCGCCCTCCTCGCTGCTGAGATGTTCCTTCTCTAGGACTCTTCTGCAGATTTGCCACCTGCTCACCAGGCTTGTGAGAGCCTGAAAGTGTGGTACTTACAGTGCTGGGGCGCATCTGTGAAGGGCCCAAAATATATTGCCTGGATTTAGCTCAGTAAATGGTAATAGCCAAGTAATACTGAGCTTTCTTATAGGATTTCTTTCTCATATGACCTTTCATTATATGATTAAAAGAGAAGTTCAAGTCACTTTCATTGAGAATTTGTTTCAAGGGAAAGAGTGACCAGAGGCTCAGTTTTAGGATTACTTTCATGTGATTCCAACAACCCAAACTTCATATTTCTGAAAACAAGTCAGCCAGTGACAATAATTCACCATGCATTTTTATTTTTCATGGTGCTTATTTTTAAATACAAAGAAATGCTTATGTTTAAATGCAAAGCTCCCTTCTTTAGAGACCTTGAAAGTCATTTTGCAAACAAGAAAGACAAGGTATTCCTAGATTAAATAACTTGTCTATA